TATGTACTTAAACATGTTCTATGAGCTAGTGTGTGATCTCTTTTGTAGAATGACCGATATGTAGCTGAGAAGAATGTATATTCTGATTTTTTGGGGTGGAACACTCTGTAGATGTCTGTTAATCCATTTGTTCAAAAGCTTGGTTCAGTTCTAGTATTTTGTTGTTGATTTTTTTGTCTAGATGATCTGTCTATTTGTGACAGTGGGGTATTGAGGTCCCCTACTACAATTGTATTAGTGCTTATTTGATTGTTCATGCCCCCTAATACTTCTTTTGTTTAGTTGAGGGCATTAGTGCATATATATTTATGATTTTCATCTCTTCCTCTTCGATTGTTCCCTTCACAAAGATGTAATGACCTTCGTCTCTCTTAATTAGTTTTGGTTTGAATTTTTTTGTCTGCAAATAAGATAGCTACCCCTGCTTTTTTCTGGGTTATTGTCACATGGAGAAGTGTTTTCCATCCTTTTACTTTCAGTCTATGAGTTTCTTTTTGAACTAGGTACATTTCTTGTATACAGCATAGTGTTGGATTTTGTTTTTTAATCCCTTCTGTCAGCCTATTTCTTTTGATTGGTGAATTGAGGGGATTAACATTGATGGTTATAACTGACATGTATTGACTTATCATTGTCATGTTATTTTCCTGTTATTGGTTCTTTTTTATTTTTCTCCCTCTCCCTTTAATTTCTTGCCTTGCTTGATGAATTTGCTCTGTTGGGCCTCATGGAGTTGTGACCTTCGTTGTATTTTTCTAGGATATTGTTTAGAATTGTTTGGAGTGCTGGCTTGGTATTCATGAAGTTTCTCAGGTGTTCTTTGTCATGGAAGTATCTTATGTCTTCATCAATTTTGAAAGATAGTTTTGCAGGATACCTCAGTCTAGGTTCGACATTGTTTTCTCTTAGGGCTTGTAATACCTCACTCGAGGCTCTCCTTGACTTGAGGGTTTGTTTTGAAAAGTCTGCTGTGATTCTGATGAGCTTTCCTTTGCATGTGATTTGCTTCTTTTCTCTAACTGCTTGTAGTATTTTGTTCTTAAATTGGTTTCCTGGATCTTGATTATTATATGTCTAGGTATAGATTTTTTTTTTTTTTTTGATTATGGATAGTTGGAGTCCTATATGCCTCACTTATTTGTATGTCAAATTCTTTTGCTTTGTTTGGGAAGTTTTCTGTCATTAATTCTGTGAACAGTTTTTTAATGTCATTTGTACTTTCTCCTGCTTTTTCATGGTCTCCTATCACTCTTACATTATTCTTCTTTGCATCATTTAGGGCTGTTGGATTGATTTCTCATGGTCCCTTACTAGTTTTAAGAGATCTCTCTTTTCATGTTCACTGACCACCATCCGGTCTTTTATATTTGATATTTTGTATTCAAGTTGCCTTAGTCTGCTGTGTATGCTTTCAATAGAGTTTTTAATCTCCTGGATATCTGTTTGAATCTGTTTCATGGATTCCATTTCTTTCCTATGTTGGGCATTCATAGTTTCCATTTCTTTCCTATGTTGGGCATTCATGGTTTCCATCATGGTCCTAAACTTACCTACTTTTTCTCTGTTTCTGTTCTAGAGTCTCTAATCATGTCTTTCATTATACTCACCATTTCTGTAGTTATCTGGGAGAATTTTTTTGTTTTGAATTTTTCTAGAGCCTCATTCGTCTGTTTTGTCACTCCCTAAGCTATCAGTTCAGAGTGTCCAGGTGGTTGATTATCAGACCTTTCCACCTCGTTTCTGCAAGAATTTGCCTTGGTGGGCTGGGAGTCTGGGTTTGTGCCTTGGTTAAATGTCTTCTCATTTCTATTTTTGTTATTGGTAGTGTCCTTGGTTTAATTCCTGTGTTGATACTTCGATATTGCTTATTGTAAGTATCTTTGTTGCTTGTATTTATAACCCTTACAGAATGATTGCTTCTCAGAGGTATTTTCCAGATATAGCTGGTCTTTAGGTTTTGAGTCTCTAATGACTCTAAAGCTATCTCATTTTCATTATACTAGGAAGGACAACTGATTAGATCAATGATAACACCTTAGCCCAAGTGATACAGTCAGCGACACAATAGCATCAAGCACAGCTTAGAAAATAACAATTTGTGGTAGTTACTAATCTATCACCTTTAACTGTGTGAATTAAATCAAAATCGAGGACCAGCACAAAATATGTTTATAGTGAATAAACTCTTCAATGTAGCAACTTTACTCTTTAAGACGTGGACTTAGAAGGAGTTGGGGAAGGAGGGATAGATAGGTAAAAGGATAGGGAAAGGTTAATAGGGAAGCCAGAGGACAGAGGAAGATCACACAGACTCTAGGAAACTGTTGAAGACAAGAGGAAAAGACAGAATAAAGGAATGAAGATGAGAACAGAACAACCTAACAGCAATAGGGAGACTAGAAACTGTATTTACTTTCCTTTAAAACTAATGACAATTGAGAGAAGGAAAAAGAGAAGAAAAGAAATATAAAGAAGAAATCCAAATTAGGGCCAGAACAGAAACAAAAAGAGGGATGAAGAACAATGTGGGAGAGTGAGAGAGTGAGAAAGAAAAGAAGAAAAAAAAGAAAGAAAAAGAAGAAAGAGAAAAAAAATTTGAAAAGAGTAGAAAAAAATAAAACTTAAAAATAAGAGAAAAATAATGATTTTGAGAATAATAAATAAAGAATGAAGGGCCTCCTTCAGGGTATGTCTCTGCTGTCACAATAGACAACGTGGACAGCAGTGTGCAGATATAAGTCAGTTAGTCTCAGTAAGCCAGTAGCAGACCCGGCAGATCCAGGCTGATTTCTGGGTGCAAGTCCCAAATTGAGTTCCCTGCCCTTCTGCAGGGTTGAATTCTGCAAGGTTCTAGTGTAGTTTCCAGCTGTCCTTCCTCTTAAAATAATCCAGCTTCCAATGGGAGGTGATAATCCCTCCAATTTACCCACTAAGGTGGTCTGGTGCACCTTGGTTGCAGAGATTCTTTTCACTTTTCCAGTGGGCTTTAATTTTTATCAAGGAACCTGAGAGAGGCCCTCTTTCTGTTGTTCACTTGTGCTCTATCTTCTGGAGCTCAGGACAATGGCCTTTATGCCCCCCCCCCCCCGCCCCGTGCCTCTGTGGTGTTGGATCCAGGTACAGGGGCAACCGGGAGGACATAGGCAGGGGGCGGGGGG